AATGCCTCCTGCCACCACAGCGGCTGCGAGGCTCTGGGCTCAGGCAGCCTTGAGCTCCAGTGGCTGTGAGGCCCGGGGCTCAGGCCTCACAGCCGCCACGGCCAGCAGTGGCAGCAGCAGCAGGGTGATGGGGGGGGTGCCTTCCCCTGATCATCCCGGTTGCCTCACACAGATGGAGGCCAGACTGCAGCTTAGGCCCGCTCCCTACGGGGGATGGGCCTAAGCTGTCAGTAGGACATCCCCTGAGGGCTCCTAGACCATGAGAGGGGGCAGGCTGGGCTGATGGAACCCCCACCCAGTGCACAATTTCGTGCACTGGGCCTCTAGTAAGTAAATAATTTTTATACATGTATGATACCATACGGTATTTGTCTTCCTCTGTCAGGCTTATTTCACTTAACATAATGCCCCCAGGTTCATCCATGGCAAGATTTTCTTTTCCTTTTTTTTTTTTTTTGGCATGGCTGAATGATATCTATCACATATCACATTTTCTATAGTAATTCATTTGTCAACAGACACCTAGAATGTGTCCAATGACATGTTTTTCATTTCCTTCTGAGCTCAAGCATTAAATAGTGATGACCTGTGAGCTTCCCTTCCGCCCTTATCTCCCTCTCATTCTACAGCATCATAGGAAAGGTGGACAAATCAAGGTTTATCAACAGTTAACTCTTTGAATGGCCAAGTCTGGAGAGTCCATGACTTCCAAATGATGAATGTTAAGTCTGCTGTTATCTGGATGAAGGAAGAAAGATAATCACATAAATTGTCTATGAGACAGACAAAGTGAATTGACAGAGGTATTGCTGAAGTATTTAGAAAAAGAGGTGATAATCCATACTATCTTACTTACTTTACTATTCAAATTGTCCCTGAAATGGTCAGAAGCAATAAGGCCAAACTGGCTCTAGTGTCCTTTTGACATGTCTCCATTGTTCTCTGAGTATTTCTTTACATTGTGGTATAACAAGATGTAACAGGCCCATATGTACTTTCCTTATCTCACCTCTGCAACCTGCCATTTCTCCTGATTCCTAGAAATAGAGAAAGGTTTTTAGTAATCAAGATCTTGGCTTTAAGAGTGCTCATTTGTCTGATTTCTCTTTGCGTTTATGTCTCTCAGCAGACAGAGCTAGGAAATATAATCAATATATGTAAAAGTCTAATATGCAAAGTGTCCCCTCAGGAGTTCAACTGGGAGACCAGGAGTTGGACTGAGAGTTCAATTGCTTGCTATGACATGCGCTGACCACTAGGAGCTGGCACAGAACAAAGGAAGGCCCTGGCCCGCAGCCAGCAGCCAGGGAAGGGAGGCCTGGGCTGGCAGCCTGAAGGCCCTGATCAGCCCCAATTGCTGGATAGGCCTAGGGACCCTTCCTGTGCACGAATTTCAAGCACCAGGCCTCTAGTATGATATAATTTTATAAGATACTAGAGGTCTGGTGCACAAAAATTTGTGCACTGGCAGGGGAGGGGCGGGTGGGGGGTGTCCTTCAGCCCCACTTGTGCCCTCTCACAGTCTGGGACTTCTCGGGAGATAACCACTTGCTGGCTTAGGCCTGCTCCCCGGGTGGCAGATGGCAGGCCCGATCCCTCGGTGCCTGCCCCACCTCCCTGGGTCGCGCACATGGCAGGGCTGATCTGGGGGTTGGGGTGCCACCCTGGATCGGGTCCCACATGGGACGCCCAGATGGAGGCTGGGAGGGCTGGACGATCACTGCTGCACTGCCTGGCCGCCCCGGGTCAGCTTGCACATGGACGCCCACCGCCTCAGGTTGCAGATAGCAGGCCCGGATGGTGGCAGGGTAGGCGAGATGGCGCTGTCCCACCCTGCCTGCAGTATGCAAATTAGCCGCCATCTTTGTTGGTGGTTAATTTGCATATCATCCTGATTAGCCAATGGAAGGCATAGCGAAGGTACAGTCAATTACCATGTTTGTCTATTATTAGATAGGATAAAGTGATATGCTCCTAACTACCTCAATTATTCAAGTTCTTAAAATATATAAAAAGACGAATTGATTATGTGGGTAGAGGAAGAAGAATAAGTTATTGTATCACAATTATACAGTGCTTTTCAAATCCCTTTTTCTATTTTGTCTTTAGTTAGTAGTTTGGACAGACCATTATTGGAATAGAATACAACCTCCAAAATCTTAGGAAACAACACCAAGCAGTCGAAAGTTCCATGGAAGCAAAAAGGTTAGTAATATTTTTAATTGTTGCATGTACCATATTATTGCTTGGTATGGAAATGAGAAAGCTAAAACAATTCCTTTGGTCATGGATGCAATACTATCTTTTTCACGTAGAGTTACTGACAACTGGCCTACTGAGGGACAACAGGAAAAACATCTCAAAAGGCCCCTAAACCATTTAGTTCAATAAAAATTTGGGTTATAAAATCAGAGGTTCTTGGCTGAGCTATTCATTTTAAAATATATTTTTATTGATTTTTTACAGAGAAGAAGGGAGAGGGATAGAGAGTTAGAAACATCGATGAGAGAGAAACATCG